TCGTATAAAATTCTATTTTTGAGAATGGTTATAAAACTTGCAGAATATGTCTTACAAATTAGCAGTTACATTTGTTAAGCATCATACGAGTTTTAAGGGGACTGTTTTGTTCATAAGAATAAAAAGCTTTTATGTTTCAAAATAATTTTATAACGATTAGGAGTAGTGCTGACTTTAAACCTTTTTAATGATTGACTTAGCACTAAAATTATTTGTGCACTTTCAGCAAACCTTTTAATGAAATCTCAAGTTGTTTTTCACTTCATCTATAGACTAATTTCTTCATAAACGCAAGCTAACCACTATCACAGAGGTCATTGAACCTACAACTTGATGTTTGCCCATCACTGCTAATTCAGAGATATGTGGAGGCTTGCACCACTCAGAACCTTCAGTAATCTTAATCTTATTTAAATTCTTCTGACACAGTGTAACGAAGCACACAATAATGATTGTTTAGTCACATAAACCTAATTGTATCCCATCACATTATTCAAAATTATTTCGTTTATTTGCATTTCAAGTCGAACGTAGGGCTTGAAGTCTTATGTTTATAAGTTACAATAGTTCTTGTATTGTCTCTACGGGCGGGATTACTAGTCGGGCACCAAACCTTCCGTATTTTCTAGGCTTAGTACCCTTTAGTCGGAAATTGAATCCCCATAATATGTGGGGCTGACAAGTATTCTACTCCTGTGCCATCAAAGCACCCAAGAAAATTCGAAAAGATGTATTGTTACTACAATTGTGGTAGAATGGAAAACTGCATGGTCAGTTAGAACCAACACTTATTACTAAATGACATAGACAATAATAATATGATGTTCGAGCTTCAGTTGGTGCATACTACTAAAGAGTCCCAAACTGCGACCAGACAGCTCCCTAGTACTCCCAGGTTTCCCAATGGTTCTCTAACCGATTTCAGTTCAAGATGAAATCCTGAAATAATATGATGTTTACTGTAATACACTAGCGAAATATAGTCGCTGCCTTCAGCAGTGTTACCACAATCACAATTTAATATTTCCAGTAGGATTAATTTGTAAGGACAATCTGTTGGTGTTACAGTACATACTTGCATGCATACACATGCATTATTATTTTAATTCAACTTCAGTTAGCAAAGCAGTGTATTTTTCTTATTCAAAGAAGTTGGAGAATTTTGGGCTTTGGATTAAAAAAAATTTATTTGTGTTTTATTTTAATTATGAGCTTACATGGGCTTAAAAACCACTGTAAACATTGAAGTTTGAAATATGTTTGTTTAATGTCCTGGAAAACCTCAATAGCGTTCATCGCCTTAATCTCCTTGGTTAAATTTAATGATGTTTTATTTACATGAATTACAAGTAATTACAGTAGTGAATCAGTGTATTTGTTTTTAAATAAAAAGTTATTATAGTGTTAAAACTGCGCCGGAGATTTAGCGGTAGAACACTAGCCCACCACACACTTTGTCTCAGGTTCGATTTCCGGTAGACGCACTCCTAAATCTCAATTAATCGGTAGTATTACTGATGTAGTGTGAAGGTTGGGAGTGAGTTTAGTAACCCCATCCTGTGAAAAGATACACCACTGCTACTAAAACTTCAAGGCTTAAGCTTAAGACCGTATGTTCCATTCGGAACACAAAGTAATAAATACAGTGTAAAACAAAGGGAAATTTTGGGTAAATTCCACACAGAATGTGTGTAAAGTGTAGTTAAATAGAATGGACGTATGATGGAGAGTAGATTCACTGTTCAGGAAAGCTTTTAAAGTTTTCAGTAATCTTAAAAGTTTTTCGTAATGTTTAGTTATTATTAATGAATTGTTACTTGATGGAAAATCATTTGAACAGGTCAACAAGTTTTAGAAACTTAAATTAGTCCATTATTTTCTTCACAAAACTAGTTTGCCCAATTAACTTCCTAGGTAAAACATTAGAATCCTCACCACTCTTCAATTTTTTACTAATACAGAACATAAGTTTTTAATATGTGAATGATACTAGGCTAGATATAGGATAGTGATCATTTGTTGAGTTGAAGTTGCCATTGAGCTAACTTTACAATCAGAGGTCTATTGACTGAATTCTTACTGCTAATTAGACTTCTTTTACTTTTTCCCATCATCAAACAAGAAACATAGCCGTAAATCTATGAATTTTTAAATATTGTCCATAATTTTTGCCGATGAAGACAAATATTTGACTGTTAATAATTAATTAATGTCAGGTGGTTGGAGGCAGCTGACGAAAAATCGTTGATCTAAGTTTCGTGCCCGTTAGCAATCGTCACCAAGACACGTGGTAAGAATTGGTATCCCCTAGGAGATTTGCTGCTCACTTCAACAGTCAGAGATGTTACCACTCAGTTATTCGGGCTAATTAATTTATCATTTGAGATTATTTGAAATGATTTTATATTTTTCTATGTTATCAAATATGGTAATAATAATAGTAATAATTGTCTCAAGATCTGACAAGTTTCAATAAACGTGAGCGCTTTGTTGATTGACATGTTTTAAGTGAGCAGTGATTCATTGCTTTTAGTAAATAATCATCCACTAATTTATGGTTTGCATAGACTTTTTAAAAAAAATAAGGGAATCAATTACTTTACACTTGTCTAAACAACTTCATTCTAGTTAAATAGGAACTGAAATAAAAGCAAATATCAAGGTGTAAGGGAGAAATTGTTTGGAAAATCCCTCTAATGTATGTCACAAATTAATACTTATTTGGATGTTTCAAATAACTTTGTAGCTATTATCCGTTTTTCTTCAAGAGTGCATATCATTCTTTTGACATTTTCATATCACATATTAACTTAATCCTTATTGTGTCTTTGTCCCTGTTTAATCTCTAATTTCAATGCTTCTCTTTGTGGTTGTATGTAGACTGATAATATGTTGGGAGATGTGATTTTGTTTGAGTGAATGAAAGTGAATCTGACCTTGAACTGTCTGCGGGAATTGTTGGTGTGTGTGATTCTTGTGAACAGAGTTTTTCATCTCACCTTGTTGAGAATATTCAACTTGATTTTAAGTACTTGTTTTCTACTTAGAAAATAATCTTGACTATGTAGCTGCCTAACGGTGCTATTGAGATGATTTTGAGATTTTGATGTTACTACTACTGAATAGATACACAAATTCTGTCTGTCTTTGGAGTATTTTGTGACTGTGCACCTCTCAAGGAAGTTCTGAACAGCTACTCAGTAGAACGCAGCGATCGGTTCCTTGTGTTCAGATCACAAAGAGTCGGATTTAATCGTAAGACGAAGTACCTCTTGACCACACTGTGCAATATTAAACAAAAGATGAATATGGAGCATTGAAAGGTTTAAAATTAGGAAAAATGTCTGTCGAATTCTCCCCATTCTCCAGTGGTTCTCCAATTGGTTTTGATTTGTGACGAATGAAAACAAGTGAATCCTTACAAATTCAACATCTGAAAAAAGCTAATAGCTGACATTTTTGAATATACACAGATTTGATACTGATGGAAATTACCTCACAAAACTATTTAGTAATACACAAAGAATCGCTTTGAATTTGAAGGTAGCTTTAATTAGGAATTTAAATCAATTTGAGAAGAATTGAAAGCCGAGGAGTACTGAAAAGCTCAATGAGACTATTTATTCAGCAGTGCTTTCTGATCATTCCATCAGGTTTATCATGAAGTCACTTTGAAATCTCAATCAATTCTTCATAAATGCATTTTATAAATGTTTGTGAATTACTGATGGACGCTTTGCAAACTTAACATATAAATGTGTTTTCAGCCGTAGTTAACGTATGGAATAGTGACGGACTATTGAATTTAAACCAGTTTACCTGAAATTATTACTATGGTGATTAGGACTTCTAGAGAAGGGCTTAAACTACTTATTTACAAGTGATCACATTTCAGGTTGCTTAATGCCGATCAGTACTTCTTTTTCCGTGTAGTCATTTCTTGTTCAAGCAATCACTAATAACTCTTTTGGGACACATGCTACCTCATTAGCTGTTGGGTTATTAATTGACGATCCGGGATTCGATCCCCGGATGACGCACTCCATTACCTCACTAAGCTGGTAACTAGACTGGTAAAGAGGAAGGCTGCGCATGAGGCTAGCTACCCTATCCCGTAAAAATAAACACCACTGCTCTGAAACTTCAGGCCTCTAGCTTGAAGCCCGTTCCACTGGGAACATAAAGGAATAAAAAATTTCTTTATTTTAGTCTGAGTAGTTACCATAGAAAGTATTGAACATGTATGTGCCATACACGAAGTGATATTACAAACTTTATCCATTGATGTATGCCGAATATGAAACCAGTAACACACTTGATGCGGAATCTGCTGCAATTAGCATAAAGAGCACGATTCGGATTTTTAACACTAATGTGTGGTCAGTTCTTTGGCATGATTCAAAGACTTGATGTGTGTCACCAAAATCATTTCCAACAGGCTTCAGATTTCTATCAACATCTGCCTTGGCTCCATACTGAATATCAGATGGCCTGTCAGAAACAATCAGGAACAAGTGAATCTGGTAAAGAAGCTGAGAAGAACCTATTGCTCAACAAATATATTAGAGGAAATGGAGAAGGACTGGGTGTACGCTGGGGAGACCATTGACCGACTTCGCACATCAGGCAGCCTAGAGTGGAACCCAAGTGAGAAACGATTAGTTTGACGAGGGTAGGGTGGAGAAGGTTGAGTAAGAAAGAAATGAAAGCACATGGGCAACCGTTAAGCTAGCTAAATAGGACTTCAGGCAATAAGGTGAAATGGAGATGTGCTACTGTAGCAATACGCTCTACTTGGAACCCAATGGGACAATAATAATAATAATGGTAGCTTACTTGATATTTTATCTGAAACAGGTAACTAAGTGAGGTATCTAGTGTCAAGCGGGAGTTAGTAAATTTCTCTCTGACTACAAACACTTGAAAAAATCATACAGTCAATATGTTTTTGTTGTTTCACTTACAAACATATAAAATTTTTCCACCCTTTATCATTTCAGACAACTGAAAACCTACTGCATACTTCCTATTCATCTACAACCAAGTAACAGTAACGCAATGAGATTCCTGCAAATTTTGATGATAACTATTTGCTTAACCACATCATTCGTTTCATCATTTCAACCGAGTCGATTATCAGAATTTGATTTGGATGACCCTTTTTTGTTTCAAAAATTATTATATAAATCTCCATCAATAAAAGATCCTAATGAAGGTGGTTACAAATTTAGCGGGAATGAAATGCGATATGGTCGATAAAGCGGCACATTTCTGTCAATTCATATCACAATGAGTTTACTTCTGTCTAACAATAAAAAAATGTCAAGATTCGTAAATAAATATTTGTGAGAATATTACTGCAAGATATCTTCTGAATATTATATGCTATCTTTTCAAAATACAAAGTGTAAACTGAATATGTACCGTGATAATAACAGTTATAATAATCACTAAATCATTGTTTTTATAACTTTCTGTAATAACTTAACTTATAAGATTCAAATCCTACTAACCAACACTTGAATATCAATGTGATGCTCACTAGCGACTTGCCCTATTCAGGTAGGTAGTTACCTGGGGTTCTATTGAGAAGTCGTGACCAGTAGGGTGCAGCTGGTCGGGTGTGATGACAAATACTTGCCGAAGACATTGGCTAGCGGTCGTGCTATGTCGTGAATTGGCAGAAGTTAGAATTCATGGACTGGCCATTGGATCGGGTCCCAGTGGCTTAATGGTCTATGAGCTCGCTGGCCTTGTTAACAGAAGGTCCTGGGTTCGGTCCCCAGTGGTGTGTGCGTACTGATGAAGAGTCCCAAACTAAGACGAAACAGATGTCCAGCACTCACAGGTTTTCCAATGGTTCTCTAATTAATGTCAGCTCATGATGAAATCCTGTAACCAATCAATCAAATCCCTACAAACCAACACTTGAATTTCTGTGATAAAGTAGTCTGTTCTACATACTATCTTGTATAATGGCTCCTTTTTAGTATACAAAAATACGCGTCTAGGCACTTAGAAGACAATAAATTGAGCGAGAAAATTAGTCAATATCAGCACGTTAAGAGACCATAATCAACCAAGGAAATTAATGCGCAAATTAGAGGGTAGATATATTTGTAAAAGCTGAACAAACGGTTGCATAATGCACAATTTTTAAAAACATACAATGAAAATAAATGGGCAGTTAAATCGATTACGTGAAAACAATTAAAGATGAAGTGGGCGAAATCATAAGCCTTTTAAGACAATAATAACTTGTATATGGCACAGATTGACGGCGAAGTCGTCAAATTTTACATTCATGTATAGATGTATGGCTTAGATAAGGAAGGTGACGTTACGAATACCTTCTCAACACATAGGTTAGACTTCTTCGAGTAAATTCCGATAATTTATGCCCTACTTAGAAGACGAAATGGTAAAGTAAACTAGAGATTATTTTGAATACGAAATGCTTTGTTATGGTGATCTAAAACAGAGCTACCAATAGACCGTGTTTGTCCCTTGCTTAGCCATGAAGGATGATGTTCAGAGATCTGATGATGAACACGCCTAATTGCACGCTAAATACAGTTAGCTACATAGGAGTAGTCAAAACTGCTAGATACACATAGATGTGGCAAGACTGAGTAGTTTGTCCTTATTTCTCTAACATAAAATTTGAGTGATTGTGAATGTAGTGACCAAAACCGATGTGATGTAGTCTGAACGCTGGAAAACAATATCCACGTTCCGCTGTATAAATAGCCAAAACTTCCTTGAGTAATTGAAAATCTCAGATCACCCCAACAATAGCAAGAAGAAAGTTATTTGCGACAAAATCTGTAGTACTATTCAACAGTAATAGCATATCAAAACGTAAAATTACCCAAACAACTCCGCTAGGCATCTATATAAATAAAATTATTTCTCAGATACAAAACAAGTACTACACAGCAGAACTATTCAACTAAAATCAACCATAAGAGGTACCTCAGAATAAAGCAGAATACTCCCAACAGGGTGGGAGCAAATCTCAGTCAACGAGAAGACGAGTGTATAACCTGTCGCAAATCACACTTGACGCGCATACGTCTCAGTATACTTCCACAGGTAAAACGGAGGCGACCAATCACGACTTGAGTTTCGTTAGTTGGTTGATTTTGTATTACAGGACTAAAGGAATGCAATACTCATATCAAACATTAAGTTTAGAAGTTCCGAAGGTGTTTTATCAACCTTTTATTTAGCTTTAATATGCGTGAAATCACCAAGCGATAGCTTTGATCTTTACTGCAGCAAGAATCATGCCCCAAACACTTCCTGCAGACAGTCCTAGGTCAGAATGACATTGAATTCACCATAACAAGATCTCCATCGTGAAACAATACGCTACCAACATCATCACAAAACCACAAAGATACACTGAAATTGGAGAATAAGCAAGAACAAGGACAAATTATAAGGATAACGCCAATATGTGGTATGCAGACTTTACAACTATACAGGATGGGATAAAGGATTATAATCATTTCAAAATTAGTTACAGGATTTCGTCATGAGCTGATATCGGTTAGAGAACTATTGGAGAACCTGGGAGTACTGGACAGCTATTTCGTCCTGGTTTGCGACTCTTCATCAGTACGCAACCACCGGAGTTACAAGGCGAGCTCGTAGACCATTAAGCCACTGGGACCCAAAACATCTAAATAAACATAAGTTCTACGATGAGATCTTCTAGAATGGGTTTCCCATGAAGTTAATCCATTACAGCGAGTAGGTAGTATACCTCAGCTGTACAGAATGCTCTTTTCAGAATAAAGTTATTGACGAGGATCGAATTGGAAAGGAAATATTTCCTTGTTCATTTTATTGTCTTGTGTGTTAATCTTCGCTTTCAAAAGAAGCTTGTTTTAAATTTCTCCGCGTTATTCAAATAAAAAGCGTAATTCCCACTTTGTATTGATCACAACTGAGTTATATGCATCCATAATTTATGGACAAAACATAGGACCTTCAGGGTATGAAACCAAGCCCTTTGACCATCCCGCTAATTCGGCTGGAATTCAGCGATGGTGATTCTTGACGTTATATATACAATGAAATTAATACAATAATATTAACTGATGACGTTCCGAGCACAAATTATTGCTCATAATCATATCAAGTTCTCACATAACTTTTTCCTTCATTTATATACATGTGTGAAATTGACTAGATATTTGAATAAAATCAATCAGAAACAATAAATAAGAGATAATATAAGTCATCTACTGTTACACCATATAAGGAGGAAACATCTGAGGCCCTACATAGGATTCTCAATAAAGCAGGAATTAGGGTGGCATTCAAATCTAGAAACTCACTCAGAGACAGGCTCTGTAGGCTAAAAGATCCGTTGGACCCAATTAAATAAAATAATATTATATATTACAATGACTGTGGGGTCAACTATATAGATCAAAGTAGTAGATTGGGAGTAATCAGATTGTTGGAACATAAGAATTTGTCTAGTGTTGGAATAAGTGACCCCGAGAAGATAAGTAATTAAGAGAAAAGCTCAGCAATTGCACTACATGCATTAACACACAACCATACAATAGGGTGGGAGAGGACTAAGATTCTAAGAAGTAATCTATGTAGGTGGAGAGAGAGATTGATTACTGAATCCTGCCTGGTTCATTGAGTCTACACACAACACATGCAACAGAAGTGACTCAATGCAAATACCAGAAATATGGAAGATATTATTACCACCAGTCAAATCAGAAGAGGATAATAAATAATCTCAAAATTCTATTTCAATTCAAGCACATCACAATATTCTAACAAGTTACTTATTATGACTATAAAAAGATTCATCTTATTTCCCATCTGACTGTAATTGACCAATAACACTCATATTATTATTTCTGACTGATTTTATTCAAATATCTAGTCAATTCCAAACATGTATATAAATGAAGGGAAAACGTTGTGTGAGTAACTTGATATGATTATGAGCAATATTTCGTGCTCGAAACGTCATCAGTTAATATTACTGCATAACACCACTGTGTGATTTTATCAAAATAAAATCGTATCCATAATGAAGTTATGCTCTACCACAGTGCCCAAGTTTTTTACTTATATTGAAATTAATAGAAATCCTTACAAAAACCCATAATCTACAAAATATTGTTTGAAGAGCTATTCAAAAATAACTCTCAAAATGACTATGGAATTAAACTATATTCCTGCTAAATAAAATATAACTGGATATTTAATTATATGTTTGACTTTTTATAGGAATTACATTCAGATTACACAATAGGTGGTGCCATTACAATGTGCTAATTTACAAAATTCGTAGGTAGTATATTGTGTTTGATGTCTTCTGCAAGAATGTTGAATAGGGGAGCTACAGACTGTATGGCGAAGAGGAGAAAAGGAGATCTTTTTGAAATAATGTAGAAAGCATGAACTGAAGGCTCAAAGAGGCAGAATACGAGTCACTTTCGAAAATGAAAATTTCAATTTTAGGGGGTTTTTTTGCATCTAGTTATAATTATATATAATTTTGCGAAATAAACACTCATATGATACAAAATACCACTGATTTCTGTCATTACATAAGTGCCCACTAGAATTCATTCAGAAATTTACTAAGACCCATAAAAAATGAAAGTAGCAGTGCAAACAATGGGAATAATGTAAATAACAAGGAATTCAAAGCTTCTACAAAACCACCAGATAAAGAAGAAATATCATTGCTCATATGTACGATTCTCATTAAGTCTATAATAATAATAATAATAATAATCTATTTTATTCCAAAAACAGTACTTATAATACAGAATGGAATTCTCAGCATTTGTCACAATTTTGCATCTGATTTACTTAAAATATGAATAAAAGTAAAAATAAAAACAAAATTAACCGGAGGAATTTGTCCACATTTACGATATAAAGTCAAAAATGCTCGAAGCACGAATTGAGATTATTAAATGTAATAATAATAATAATAACAGTGAGTTTGTTTCAAATGGTGTTGTCGATTCAGTTTGGAAACTTTGGCATGTAATAGATTATTGGATCTAATGTTCTGTTGATATAATGTAGTGAGGGGAAACACGAAATTAACAGTTATAACACGGCTTAAATTATGTCCACACTTATGAAAAAAAATAAACAAAAACAAAAAAATTGAGAGGATTATAAATATAAGAAATACAATAACAATATAGTTTGATGCTGTAAGGTTGGAGGAAATGGTTTATTTAGTGGTGCAAAGAAGGTTAATTAGTTCATGCCTGACACTATTTTCATCACATAAAGTACGTGCTAAATATGATATAGTGGAATTTTTATACTTAGACGTACGTGCATAAATTCTTCTGAAAAGACTTCTTGTTTTACTTGAGGAGACACAAGGTTAGAGCTGCGGGTAGAGTGGGTGCTCAGAGTCTGACAAAATTCCTTTAGCAAATTTGTTGCATGACAC